TTAAAATAGAAAATGTCCATTTGAATAGGGAAAAGTTCGAATTTCTTTTATTAGGTTGGGTTTTGGGCTCAGGCTTCGGGCTTTTTATCAGGGCCGGGCTCGGGCCCAAGTTGTAGGCCCATTGGTCGGGCCGGACTCAAACTCGGACCTAACATTTTTTTGTTAATAAAGAGTCAAAGCCTGGTCCGAGCCCGGCCCGGCCCGGCCCATGAACAGGTCTACTTGTGATTAGTAAATTCTTCTTCTTAATATTAACGTAGACTATTCATATTAATTTTAACTCATTATTCAAAAATACACTTTCACTTTTACGTTATAAATTGGTAGAAATAAATTTTTCTCGTTTAATTGTTATTGTGATGTCATTTGTTTGTGTTAACTAGGTTGATATTTATGTTAATTACTATTCTTTTTAATAGATGGAATATGAATGAAAGGATATTCTATCTGAAAATTCATTTTCTTTAATGGCAAAAGAATTATTGCGCCGAAAATTGCTAAATATGATATGGTAATATTTGTGGATATCCTCCATTATCTCAGGTACCCCATGTAAGATCGTGGGTCAACCGCTTTTCCTGGCCAGCATCCAGTTAGAAACCATCATGGAAGCCCATAAATGATCAAAACTTAGGTCCCGTTTGGTTTTTAAGAATAGGGTCTATTATTAGAATCAGAATGTGGTTATTTCGATTCCAATTGTTTGATTGGATGGAATCGGAATTATATTTCCATTCTTGGTGAAATGAAATTCTTCTATTTGAGGGAATGGTCATTTCCTCTCTCTCTCTTAGGAATGAAATCTCATTCTAGATTATTTTAATTCTCATTCTGATTCTTATCTAAACCAATTGACTATAAGAATAGATCATTCTCAATCCAATTTTGAATGATTTCAATTCCAATTCGAGTTTTAACTACTAAACGAACAGACCCGTAGCAATATCCCAAATGAGTCTAGGGGAACTACTTTCTAGTTCCTTGACAGTTGATTGACATAACATAAAATGGATCGGATATGGAGTGGATCTACTGTGGCATGTGGGAGTTAAGCCTAGAACCCTCGGATATATTATTCAAACCAAATTATATGTGGTTCCGCGTGATGACCAGTTACATATCCAATTCATGTTGGAAGACTAACCCCCTTAAGCATAACATATCGCAGTTTCTCTCGCCTCTAATGGTGAACTCTCCTTCTTGCCTATAATGGGCGAGCTTTTATCTCTTCATTGTGCGAGATTTATCCTTTCCCCTTCCTAATTTTTTTCCTTTTTATTGTTTTTCTGTTTTTCCATTCTGACTCTTCTTTGGCATTCTCCTTTGGTTGAGATGATGGCATAGGACTATTATTCGAGCCTTTGTATTTTTCTTTGGTTTAGTTTGAAAGGAGTACAAATACAAATATGTACAGTATAAATCCATACAATATATAAGGTTTTGCCCTCTTACATATTTGTATTTGTACTCCTTTCAAATGGAGCCTTTGGTTGAAAGGGTGGAACAGGACCGTTACTTAACTCTGGTGCTGTTGTTAACCAAGATCCTACTACTTGGCAGATTAGATTCAATAGGGAATTGGAATGAAGAAGGTTATGAATATAGTGTAGAGGTTTCAACTCAGGTCAGGCATTAAGGGGCTTAGTATTGATACCTTTCTCGTCTGAATTGATTTTTGTGTTGCATGTATTCCAGATACTGATTCTGGTCATGGGACACCGGCTATGAGGTTTGGCAGTGCCAATAGATTTTTTAATGTCCTCCGGTCATCTCATTTTATTTTGGTACTCGCCTCAGAATCCATATGCTTGTGTGGCTTCATGATGTGGGTGTCAGTGGTGGAGTTCATGGTTTTTCCGGCGAACCATTGCATTTAGTTGTCTCATTTGTTGCCAGTGTGGTTGAGGGCGAATTTTCCGGATCCAAAATGGATGTTATAGGTTTCACTATACAAATTGTGGAAGTGGCACCCGTTTTGGATGGTCGACCGTTTCAATATGGGCACCTTTTAAGGAAAGCTCTTTATATAAAGAATTATCGTTAGGTTGGCTTGTTTTGTGCTCTCATTATGTTTGGGTGTGGAAGCTTTGTAATGGGATGAGTTGATGATTGATTGGGGTGTTTTGTTATGGATGTTTTATAGCAAACTTAAAGGGGTTTTTATTTTATGTTTCATATGCTGTAAGCCTGTAACCCTTGGCCTCCCCTAAAACTATGCCATTTCTGTTATTATCTTTATATTGCCAACGTTGGATTAGTTTGGCAATCCTACTCTTTTTAAGAGGGATTGATAATTAATTTCCGGTTCTTGTGGGGGGAGACTTTCTCATTTCAATTTTCTCTGTTCGAGGTAGATGCCCTCTTTTTATTCGACGTTCTCTAGTTGTTGAGTCGTGCACAGAGGGTTCATGAGTTTTCTCTCCCCGATGCTCAATATTTGCTTCTTCAGCATTTTGTCTGCTACTTGGTGATGGGGTTTTCTTATTGTTTACTTGTCACTTTGTACTGGTGACTTATTTTCTGTTTGTTACTTCATGGTTGTATTACTAGTATTTGTTTGAATGGAATTTGCCTGAAAAAAGTTCTATTGTTGTTGTTGTTGTTTTTGTTCGACTCCAATGTTTCCACACCCCAGTTACTATTTGGGCCGACCCCATTCTATGTATTCCATACCAGGGGTCCAGGACCCTATAACCCTACTCGGCGATCCAAGTCGTATTAGAAATGAAGCCAATAGAATCTACGTTTCTCTTCTCCACTGCGAGGCGAAAGCAGAGTTAACTTTGTTTTCTTTGCGGAAAGAATGGAGGAACTTCAACCCCTAGAAAATACGTCCACGCAGCTTATAATACCTCATGAAATTTAAGATTCTTTCAACCGTAGTCGACATTCCTTTGTTATCTATTCCACCATGGCAGCATCCTTTCTCTCCTCCCGGGAAGTGATGAAAATGGAGTCGAAAAGATAAGGAAAGCGGAGAAGATAAAAAGTTTTTTCTGTGAAAGAAGTTGAAAACAACAATGGCAGTCATTATTTGTTCATCCATTCATTCAATTGCTGGCTTGTTGCTGTTGGGTTGGTTTCTTTATTTATCAGACCTGATCACCAGACAAACATAATTAGGTTTGGACCGTTATCTCTTAGACCTGCCTGCAGACTGCAGCTCCTTGTTCGTAGCATCAGTCTCAAAATTCAAAACCAACCAACCAGACTCATGTAAGACATTTTGAGCCAAGTCAACTTCTGGAACCCGAGGTGGCTTTTTTTTGTCTTCAATGTGCTTATTAAATGACCTTTAACTGTTTGTGCTCGAAACTATAAACGAATCAAATCCAGGGCATTTCTCCCTGACCCTGGCCTTTTAAAATTGGCTCAGGGGAGTTCTTTCTTTCTTTTCTCTTTTTTCTTTTCTCAATGAATTACAATATGCAGCTGGGCTCAAGCTGTACTAGTAATGCCTGAGAAGCTGTACTAGTTTATATTCTACCAAAATTGACAGGGATTGAATTTGCATGTTACAGTCATTTTGGGTTGATCTTGTGTGCAAGATACAATGGAGAAAACTTGTCACCTAACATCTCCCGCTTGGTAATTGGTAGGCGCCAAAAGGAACTGAACCTCTTCTTAAGACTGCAATTTGATGTCTGAATGAATCATTGCAAATCCCCTGAGGCATGGTATCGATTGAGACTGAACCTAAAGAACACTGTGGCATACTTGACTGTCAGATATTTAGATAGACGTGGTGCTTTACAGGGATCGTGATACTTCATCGATTTGCTAAAGCATAATAGAATGGTGTTGAAAGCGGTTTTTACCCCCATTCACTGATATTTGATTGATTTTCAGTCAAATCAATGACTCATTTATCAGAGTCAAATTCTTTTGAGGTTAGTACCTCTTGAATGATCCATATTCAAGTTTATTTCAAGATCTAAGGTTTTGATCTCTCCACCAGAATTTCGGTTCTATACCATCACCATCCAACTATCCTGCATCACTAAACCAGCAGTACATGCACAATATTTTGGCACCATGTGATAACAGAGACAAGTCCCATCTTTATTTTCTTACAGAATTGCAACATTTGTTGCTACACAACAACTGAACATGATACCATGACCTAACAGGTAGTTAGAATAATCCAATTAAACAAGTTGTACGCCTTTGACCAATCAACTGGAAGGTCTGCACCGACCAGAGGGATCACCAATTAGAAATACATCGGGAGTTTAACCATGCTAAGCATCAAACTACCATTTATGTTGATGACACTACTTTAAATGGGTTCAAACCAGAAACATTTGATTGATATTAAGGTCCAATGCTCTCTATAAGCTCTCTAACTTGGATTGCTTATTGTTTTGAACAGAACAGAGACATGACTATTGAAAAGGCTTCAGAGCTTTGCCAAAATTTATGCCTATTACTTATTTTCACTTGTTTTCTCCACATTTCTCTATCCAAATAAAATGTGAAAACGTATAAAACTAGCTTCGAAATTTCTTAGTTTCTCATAATTTGTTCCGAATTAAGTTAAACATATATGACCAAACAGTAACTGTTTCAGACATGTTATGAATGCCCAAAAGTGCAATACTCCAATACCTCTCTTTAATTGTAATATCCTATGTCCTCAAATTTCTTTCTTCCTTTTTTGTACCATCGAATTTCTTTCTCTTGTAAGAGTACATACTCAACCTCAGTATTTAGAAGCGGAGACTGAGCTCTCCTTGACACATAATGGCCAACGCTCTTCAAATGATAGTTGTAAAGCATATTTAGAATTAAAATAAGCACTAAGCAAGCAGTTTATTTTCGCCTTTAGTGTCCAATAGAATACAAGGTAGAAATCAGTAAAACAGTTTATCCTTCTTGTGCTTTTCCTTTCCTTTTTTTTTTTTTTTTACCTTTTCTTTTGTTTTCATTTCAGTTACAATTCAAAACAAATCAGTTTCCTTGATCGATAATTCAGACGATCAATATATGAAGATTTCCTGTATAAACAACGAAAACAAAGAACTCATGTTTATTAAGAATGTACATGATACAAAAGAACCAACCCCCAGCCCCACCAAAAATCTAATCCTTCTTTTCTTTCCCTTTTTTTACATTGACTATCTATCCTAATGGAGGAGAACTAAGGACCAGAGACGATGAAGAAGAATGGAAGACCGATACTCCCCGCCCCCCCAAAACAAAGATATCTTTCACTTCACCTCCCACAAAAATCTCCCTTAACAGAACCCAACTCAAATCAACCCGTCAACTGACACCTCTGCAGAGCTTGAATCAAACTTGAAGCATTTCTTCTAATTTTCTCATTCTCATCTTCCAGGAATCCCAAACAAATTTCTTCAATCTCCTCTCTCTTCGCCTGCCAACGCATTCCTTCATTACAAGAACAGAGTGAATTCAACGTGGAGAGAGCGTGCTGTACCCCGCGTGGACTACCATTGAGCAACACCCGAACTAAAACCCCGACAAAACCATCGAGTCTTTCCATTTCTTCTCTACCTTCTCTGCATTTGGCCAACAGGCTGAGAACCTCAACAGCCCTTTCGACCCCGGAATCGGCCATTTCGACCAAAATTGGCACCGACCCACATTCTACAGCTCTCCTCTGGTTATCAGGGAAGGAACATAAGGCGTAAAGCGCAGTGGCTGCCTCTTTCTTTCCCCTCCCGTTCCCGTCCCGAAGGAGGGTAACTAGACCTCTAACCGCATATGGGTAGGCACCGATCGTCCCCTTGTTAACTTCCACAACGGCAAGACTCGTGAGCATAGTGGCCGCAAGGGCCTTGCAGTTGGGTGTCCCACCTTGCAAAGCAGAAACGACACGCGCAATTGCTCCTTCAGCAACCAAGCCCACCTTGTTATCGTCATCCAAACTAAGGTTCAACAGAAGCGAAAGCGCGGATTCTTTGATATTGGGATCAAGGGAACCAACGCAATTAAGAACCGCGGAAACAACACCAGAATCCGTTAACCTCTGACGGAAGGCGGGGTTCCTCTTAGAGAGAGGGTTGAGTTGGTTGAGCGAGTCAAGTTTGGAGTCGATAGAAGAAAATGGAGAGGTGAGAATGGAGATTATGGCCTGGGGTTCAGGCAAAGATTCCGGCTTTGGAGGGGATGAGAGGGTAAAGTTGGAAATAAGGCTCCTGAGAGCGTGGTTTGGGATGAGCGAGGGGTGCTGAGGGAGGGGTAGTTTTGTGATAGGGCAGGTCCTGTTGCCGGTGTCTAACCACCGCTGTATAGAAGATCGGTCGAAGGTGTGACCAGAAGAGAGGATGACTGGGTCGGACATTATCTCTAATGAAATCGGACACTTGAAATCATCGGGAAGCTGAGTCGCCATCCACGACCTCGACTCGTTCCTTCTTGCGCTGCTTTCTGATGCTGTGTGTGAAAGAAGAAGAAGAAGAAGAAGAAGAAGAAGAGAAAGTAGCGTTGTAGGAGGTTTTGGTGGGTTTACTTCGATTTCCGTCCTGGGGTTCTTCTCCTGCAGCACATAACAATATGAGGTTGAGGACCCTAGCTTTGTTAAATTAAGGACGAATAAATAGGGTTACGAGAATGCCCTTACAATTTGTCCGAAATTTCTAGTAGTTATGGAGAGGACGATTAAGATGGGCAGTTGAACTGAAATTTGAACCTTAAAGGTTACTTTGGACATTTGATACTTTCTATAATTTTTTAAATTTTGTGGATTTTGTCGGTAGCTTGATACAAAGGGGACCGAGGCGCTTCTTTTCGCAAAGCAAGAGGAAGAAGAACCCGAGAAGAACGAAGCCGGCCCACCATCATCATCATCGCCCTCCCTGCTCGGCTGCTCTGCTTTTGTATTAATGAGAAAGACAAAAACCAAAGAAAAGCAGGAATTTTTAGATCTTAACTGTGAGAAGGGTAATTTTGGTAACCGGAAAACATTTTCTTGTTATTAATATTTAATGGTTCCAAACTACAGAGGGTAATTTATTGGAGGAAAAATGAAGGCCCGCGGCCCGCTCCCCGCTCCCCGCTCGGTTCATAGCGAATTGGTGCCCCGCGCATTTACCAATTTGGCCCTTATAGGATTTGGCCTTCGCTTTATTAGAAACAACGGAAGGTGACAAAAACCATGCACCCATGCGTGCGTGGCAGCGTGGGCATTCAAATGTTTTTTTTTCAGGGGTTGGTGTTGGTTGGTTGGTACTGGTCAAACCGATAAATGGACGAGCAGAAGTTCCTGGAAATTGTATGAACTAAGCGGAACACGGAGGGGGTACTTTTGGGATATAGAGGTTTTTCCTTCTTTTTTTATTTTAATTCTGTTTTTTGAGGAGGGCAAATACTGTAAATAAACAGGGGATTTGACAATTCCATACCATGTATAAGCGCGTTGTTCTATTTTATTTTATGTATATATTCCTGTGGTACGATGACAAAAGTGACGACCCAAGGAAGGGGATGGGTGTCCGTACTATCAGGTGACAGCTGGCACGAAAGTGACGGCTTAGATATGATATGATTGATGGAACAGGCATAGTCTGTATAGTTTTGGAATTAAAGAGCCTCTACAAAAACATTGTTTTGGAATTTTTATTTTTATAGCATATAATCTGTACAACGGGAGATTCGGATCAAACGATCTTGCAGCTATGTGCATAGTGCACCACATGGACAAGCGAGGGATAGGAGCGATTGGCCTTACGCTGCTAATAATCGACGCGTTTATTCATTAAAATTTGGGTCATTTACTAAAACGTACTCTATACTTTGTATTTTATTATACCCAAAACTAAATTCACTAAAATACCCCTTAAATATGTAACCAATAATCGACAGAAGTTGAAAATAACAATTTTAACCTTAGTATCATTCAAACAAATTTAATCTACAGAAATTGAAAATAAAATATCATTTGTTGACCCGGTAACAATGTAAAGAAGGATTACAACCCATTGAATGATAAATAACCGTATGTACAATTATTCTTTCTTCTTGATTTTATTAAAGTAAAACTTTTAATCTTATTTTCTTTTTATATAAGTTTCATATGGAGTTTTAGGGATATTTTTGAAATAAAAAAACATGAACTTATATCTTTAAACAAATTTTATCTATTTATATGATCAAATTACCATTTCTATTATAGACTACATAGCAAATTAGCAATACTGCAATACTACAAAGGATTCTTAACAAATAGTTAATTGAATAAATTAGACAGCAATACAAAGGGTTCACAAAACTACAATAGATGTTTAATCTGATTACGTAAATGACTCTAAGGCTGAAGTTCAATCTGAGTACGTATACACCAATGAATGCGTGCTCCAAGTGTCATTATTTTAAGGAGGGAAAAGTAAATTCGGTCCACTACATTGTGGATTAGGGGATAGGGAGTGAGGAAGGTGTTTAGATTGAGTTTGGATCTATTGACCACAACACATCCAACCGTACGTCTGAAAAACCGGTTGTAATTTATATCCCAGATATTCGCAACATGAGGTTGAGTGAGCGTGGCCAGCATTGTATACGTTAGAGACTTTAAAAGAATTAACAAGTGGGTTTTGTTTTGTTTTCAGATGGATGGGGGTATGGGGTATTGGATTTTCATGGTAAGAATATTGGAGAGGCGACAAGTGTCACACATGCAAAAAAGCGGGACCCATGCTTTTTTCATGATGAAATCTTTAAATGCAAGGCCATATGAAACAAGATGTAGCGCCCAGCCTGCGCCTACCGAGACCGAAAGTCCGAAACCAAAACCACAATGGTCCACAACACTGAACCCCCCGCCCTTCTTCCCGGCCACCCATTAAAGACAATTTTAATTTTTAAATTTTCCTTACAGAAGATGAATAAAAATCAAATTGGTTTAAGTAGGCCCAGCTTGACATAATGGGCCATGGTGAACCCAGCCCACTCAAGGGACTCACATCTTGATCCAACATCCAGGATCAATTTGGACCCAATGGTGGTCGGAATGAGAAGTTGAGAAACTTCTCTGAATTGTGCCATGTGCTAAATTCCTCCAATCCACGTCATCCCGTTATGATGTTTGTGGTGGCCCAAGTTAATAATGTTTCAATTTAGGTTATATTTGGTTCGAAGGAAAAGACAGGGAAAGGCAGGAAAACGTATTTAAGGTTTGTAAGGGTTTTTCTACCTTTTCCTTTCTTTTCTTACTTTTTCTTTCAAACCAAACATAGCCCTAAAGTAATGGAAACGTGGCAAGGGCATTTGGGCTGAGGGAATTGAAGTGGGTAGAGGACAAAATGTTGGACCATTTGGGCCCCCAACGATGATGCTACCCTGTGTTGGGTTATTTAAAAGGATAGTTCATAGTTGTTCTGTGGGTTGGATGTAAATGTATTAAACGTAATTGGGTGGCTGCCAAATGCCAAGCATTATTCAATTATAGGTGCAGCCAGACACCCCCCCTGTCTAATCATGTCGAGGTATGAATATGACAGTGCCGCTTCAAAAGTCCAAAGTATAAGCATGCCATCACAACGGAAATTCCCTTATAAAAACCCCTAGTTTTTAACCCATACGGTCAAATGAGAATTGCCCAATCCTCTCCGGTTGCACTTTAAGTAAATTTATCACTTCAGTATAGTTTGAAACTTATCGAGTTATCTTATCCCATCTCATTTTTACCGTAGAAAAAGTGCCCAATTAAAAGTACCATATCATCCTTACATGCACGTCTCTCTTTAATTCTTTTGAAGTTCAAAAAAAGAAATAAATAAAGTGAATCATGTATTGTTGTCATTGATATTGCAATGGGATGCGGACATACACGTGAAAAGATAAATGATTCATCCACAACTGGGAAAGAGTAATGTTTCTCTCTCTCTCTCTCGGTGTGAGACGTGTGGGCTGTCGACTTGGGTTGGGCAAATATACAAAATTCAGTAAGAATTGGCCGTTAATGGTTTTTCTAAAGTTTATAGCTTTTCTAAGTTAACAACTATTTTTAGTTTCAATCAATATTCATATACAAAGAATAAAAGCTTTCTAGCCTTTTAGATAAGGAGGATATTACAGAGGAAGAAAGGAGATACTATTCAACATGATTTGCTAGTTTAATAGTTTAATCATTCAATCAACGAAAAGACGAAACCAATTAAGGCTACGAAGAGCCCATACAAAGTCTATTAAAAATATAAATAATAAAAGAAGCCCACACAAAGCGCAGGGAATGAGACACATAACAGTGACGAATTTTGACTTCCCATTGCCTGTTGATAATGTCTAGCGTTTTTTGTTACGTAGGACAGTAATAGTGGAGAAAGAGAGCCCACTGCAAAGTATATGACAACACAGAGTGGCGGTGGATCAATAATATGATAAAAAAAAGTAGGAAGTAGGGAAAGATAGGAAAACCTTTATATGAATGCTGGTCACTAGAGAGAGGATTCGAATCTTAGATCCCCTTAAATCCCCTACATCTATGGGGTTTTACTCTTCAGTCCTTTCTCGTAAATCTTAGTTCCATTGTATAAGTGGGGTAGATGTGGATATTGCAAGAGAGATTTCCTATCAGCATCCAAAGAAAGAGAGAGTAATGGCATATAGTCATTTAATGCAAGTAAATGACCTGCTTTTAGAATTATTTTGATGTACTGAGTAATCTTTTGTTGTAAACTCTAATTGGATTGTACAGTTAGAACAATATCAAGTCGGGGTAAAGGAAAGTGAAACATAGTTTCATAGTTTGAATTATTGCTAAATAAAATAAAATAAAACAATACAAATTTTTTAAATAAACTGAACCATAAATTTCTCTAATTAAACTTTATAGATGTGAGGTGGTGTGTTTTTTAGGTTCATAGGTGGGGGCTGTTCCTACCAAAAAAGTCCTTATTGTACGGATTGTATTAAAGGATATCCATAATTACATTTTAAATTTATTATTTATATATAATCAAGTATTATTTATAGGTTATATTTATTAATTATATTGTTAATAAAGGATAATATGATAATTGTTTTGTTTATAAATAAAGTATATAATTAACTATAACTTAATTAATCTTAACGAATTCATAATATAACATACAATTAGTATTTTTATTTTCAAATTCACTTAATTAAACAAAAACTTTAAATTTGAAATTATAATTTATTAATTTCAAACTCACTTAACTTCAAGTCTAGGCTTGGGCCCAACACTTCAAGCCCTGCATGACCCGTATATATTTATGTGATAATTTATTATACATGATATTCTATATTATAACATGAATAAAATAATTTTTTATATACATGTTAGATGGTATATAATATAAAATATTATATGTATTCACTATTTTATAGATATAGCCTTGGATTTAGGCTCCACCCCATTTAGGCCTAGGCTATAGCCCTTATTACAATTGCTAAGCCTAGGCCAAGCCTCTGTAGGGTTGGATGTGAGCTTATGTTTAGCCCAAGCTTAAGTCATAACCATATAAAATGTAATAGTCCCATCCTAGTGCTGACCTACCTCGGGCCATGGTCACTGCTACGTAACTTTCCATCCATTTTAATTCTAATTAATACA